CATGTTGAATAATAAAGTTATTGTTGTTTTTTCTTTTCTTAAAGCCAATTTACAGAGTAAGCATCCCCACCTTCACGTTCTTCTTAGTGTTACAATTAATATACAGGAATTGCTTTGGAAGTATTTGTTTTATCCTTTTTGTTCTAGTTATTTACCCTAGTCTAAGGTTTATTTTGATGTGGATCCATTCAGCAACTGCAATGTATTTTAGGATTAACTGATCTGCTCTCCCACGAGACCCTCCTTGCTGGATCTGCCTGTTTGTTGTGTTCTCTCTTGTCTTTGGGTCACCTGTTGAGAATACTGGGTCCTTACCAAAATTTTTCTGTTTAGCTGGGTCCTCTTTCCTTTCACAATTCCACCTCATAGTGAGTTCATGTACTCAGAGCCACTTATATGTTATGAAATCCATGCCTGGATTTGCGGCATGATTCTGGCTCTTAGAACTAAAGAGCGTTCCGTGAAGGGCAGTGATAAGATGCTAAGATGTAAAAAATAATCTAGAATAAACACAGAAGATATGAAGCATTGTTTCTGCGTAGCAGAGGAGTTCTGACAGCACTGCAGTAATGCGAGGGATAACAGCAGGATCTCTAGGAATGCTCTTTTTACAGCTGGACTGGGCTTAGGCAAAGATAGAGCACTTCTCATCTTCAACACCAGGTTCTGGGCAGGTCAGGATGGAGGACCTAAGCAGCTCTGAAAGGCAAGGACTTTCCAGGGTAGCAGAGATCCTTCCGGCATGTGAGTGTTCAAGTCAATATCAGGTGGTAGAGAAACCTTAACACAGCACAAGCTGGGAGACAGTTTGAAAGTACTGCCAAGGGAAGCACTGTGAGCTTGGTGGTATGAAGTATATTAAGTTAAACTATCGTAGACAGAGATTTGAACAATTAATTCCAGACAACCCCTATCAAGCCTCTCAGTGCTCATTCTTATTGTACCTCCCCTAATGCACACGGAGATAAGTTCTTTCAACACTCAAAATAGCACTTGTGGCAGAGACTTCAAGCTACTTCATTCCCCATTCTTTGTCATGCTTATGATGGCATCTTATCGCCCTCACATTTGCAAGTATGTTCGTTATACTAGCAGATGTACAAAGGGACAAAAACAAACACTGGTTTGGTTTGATCGATGTACTTAGTTTTCTAAGGACCCTTTTCTTTCATCGTCATGGAGGTCACCAAAATTAGGCTTCAGAGATGTTTTAAATGTCGAAAGTATTCCTAGCTAATTGTAATAAATCTGTCAGGGTGATTATTTGCACTGGGTTTGACTGTGTTGCTGAACAATGTGATTTTTAAAAAGTATATGTTGATGCTTCCACTTCAAAAATATCCGAGTGTGTTAGTTTTGATGCTGGCTGGCAGCCAAACATCATGCAGCCGCTCACTCAACCTTGCCCCTCCTGGGGATGGGGGAGAGAATTAAAGGGGTAAAGGGAAAAGAGTCTTGTGGGTTGGGATAAGAACAATTTAATAACTAAACTACAATAATATTGAAAATAATAATGATGATAATAGTAATATGCATAAATATACAAAAGAGTGATACAATGTGTTAATGCTCACCACCCGATGACAAAGGCTCAGCCTGTTTCCCAGCTAGTGATCCCAGAACAAGGAGAGTCCCAGGACGGAGATAAGAGCCCGGGTGTCCAAGAGACTGACATGATCCTGAGAGAGGGACGACCCAGAGGGAGACAACCCAGAGTGAGAGAGAGTACTTCCGGAGAGTCCTCATCCATATACTGGGCATGACATGCATGATATGGAATATACCATTGGCCACTTTGGGTCTCAGTCCTAAGCGTAAGGTCAAATCCTAGGCGAGTAACTGGAGCTGCACTCCCTCCTTAGCTTATCCTGCACCTGCAGACACTGTCACAGCTGGGAAGCTGAAAAGTCCTTGACTGTCCTGGCAGCAATTGTAAACATCAGGATATTACCAGCCTTCTTCTCAGCACAAATCCAAAATGTAGCCTCATGCTAGTTGCTGTGAAGAAAGTTAACTGTTTCAGCTGAAACCGGGACACTAAGACAAAGGTATGGTGCTGTGTTTTGACATTCATGTTGCCTGACAGTAGATCTTCTTAGGGCAGCTGAGTAGCTGGGGTTATCCTTTCATTTTTTGCACAAAGAGTGTGTAATGGGTAGTGGAAGGCATTATCCTATTAAGTAGCAGTATCTTCCTACTTGGCTTTTGAACAAGTTTCTTCTTTATCTTGTGTCCAAATACACATTTGTGTTGGTGTTCTGTACTATAACAATATCTTTTACACTGGTATACAGACTGTTACTGAACATGCCCCATAACCAGTGCACGCTGGCAATTATTTGCTTGCCTCTTGCCCAAGCCCTCTTTTCCTTTAATACATTAGTTGACATTGCTACAAGTGCTGTATAGAAAAGAGATGCAAAGCTGAAAACATCTTTCCATCTCCAAAGATAATTCAGACTAAAGACAGAATGTGTTAATAGCACTCAAAAAGAAAAAAAATAGAAAATAACTCTTTATTGCTGCTGAACAATCATTTGATGTTATTTTTGGGAGAAAATTAACCTACTTAGTAGGGAATATGTAGTTGTTTGTCACCAGCCAGATTAGCAGTTATTTCTCAAGATTAGCACTTAATTCAAAAGAAAGCATAGTTTAAAAAATTTCTTCAGAGAGGGAATGAGCCATCAGCAATCATTATAGAAGTGATTCTGACAAACATGGGAGGTGGGCTTTGCCTTAGGTAGCAAGTCTCGCCAAGCGTGTAGTCAGGCTTTAGAGCATAAGAGTAGCCTCAGCAGCATGCCTAAGATATTTAGGTGTACATGAGCTTTGAGAGGAATTACGATCTTCAGGCAAGACCTAATATTTGGAATACAAGTTTTCTCTTGCTTGCTGTATTCCTTTTTGTAAGCAGGCGATACATATTAGTTTGCACCATGACTTTGATGTGTTTTGCAGCTCATTGATTTCTGGCGGGTCTGGATTGCAGCTGCACCTAACAAATGAGCAATTGAACGCAGGAGCCTGTGTTAACAGCAGTATTAGGACTGCAGAATCAGGAGGAAGGAAGTAGAATTTCATGATGGTCATCATTTGAAGGAAGCACTTATGAGGAACTGCAAAGAGTAATTTCCCCTGATACCAGATCACATGGTGAGAGAAAGGACGGGATGTATCCCTCTGCCCAGGCTGAGGTGGGGTAAACTGCATTTTTGTGCTTCATGGCATGAGTGGAGAGTTAGCACTTGGGAGGAGAATTCACAGGGAAAATCGTAGGAGAAATCCTGGCGATAGCTGCTATTGTTATACTGGTTCTCCGAATTGTTCCTAGACTCACACTGCTGCAACTTCTTGGCAGTCTTCCATGGCAGCTGGTTCTTTGCAGGCGCTGTGCTATCAAGGACAGTGAATTAAATCACTAGTGGTCTTGTACATTGGAAGATGGTCCATGAAGTGGTTGTACAGAAGACATGCAGACACATGTTTACTGGCTAGTGTGTGTCAGCATCTGTGGGCCAGCACAGTCCATAGCTAGCCCCTGACTCTCCTCTGTGACCACACTGGCTGGGGGTTGCTGTTGCTTTGCTTACGCAGGTACCCAGTGCTGTAGTTTTTCATCACCACCAGTTTTCACACTTTCAAGAACTGAAACAGTAGCAGGGACAAGATCATCCTTCCAGGATTTTTTACCACAAAAGGTTATGTATCTCTTCACATTAAGAAGCTTAGGGAAGCGGGTCTGGTATGAAGAATGCTGGCTATCAGCTATAATGCTGGGTGCAAGCAACCTGGGACACAAGAGTTTAGTGGATCTTGAAGAGTGCTGTCCCTGTCCTTGAACAGTTTGCCTCTGATTTATGACATGTACATTTACTCTGCACTCTGAAAAATTCTGGAGAATGTTTCCAACGTTTTAATTTACAAGGTATAAATGGAATGACGTTTGGAAAATAAGTGGCACTAATAAGGAAGTACCTGCTCCAACTAGTAGGCACAATTTCTATTGCTTTATTACAGCTTCTAGCATAATATATTTAGGTATGCACCGATTTTCATTGACACTTGTACATTTTTAGGCTCTAGATGGATAGTTCTGTTTTGTATCGTCTGTATTTTGTGTGGGTGCTCACAATTTCAAATGCAATAAGGAAGCCAACACCTAGTGGCTAGTGTCCCAGGTTTACCCCCTTGCAACTCTTTGAAGCCTTACAATAACTCATTGAATAAACAGAAAATGCTTGAAACTGGTCACAAAGTGTGATAACTACACTGAAACATGTATTTAAATGTTCTTTAGGGGGAAAGTACTCTGTAAATACGCTTCATCCCTGAATAACTATCACTTTGCAAGAGAACAGTTATTTGAGTACTCTTAACTAAGCTTAACTTTATTTATTAGGCTTCTTATATATTTTGAAGAACTTTTAAGACTAATACAGCCACTGCAGAAATTGAGTTAGTTGTCTTTTCAAGTAGTATCTTTTTGAAATGATACCTGTTGAAGTTATATTTAGCAGGTGAACTGGCAAAACTTCATTCTTCCCCCAATTCCACTTTCTTATGCTGACAACATTTCTCATAATCTTTTTTTTTTCTTTTCCTCTGTCATACCATGTTAGTCAGCAAGCCTAGCACTGACAAGGCAGGTTGTCTGCTTTGTCTGGTATGTATACTGAGTCCAAGCTTATGTCTAAAATGTGGTTTCTTATATGTACCAGGATTTTGACTGTGTTGTGTTATTTTCTGTAAAGCACTTTTTCTCTGACTTGTTTTGTGATTCTGCTGTGCCATTGAGAACACAGGGAGAAGACAACAAGATCATGCTTGAAATTGTTTATCTTTTTTTGTCACTTCTGTCTATGTACAAGTTTTCATTATATAATTACATAGTCTGTTATTCCATTTTATTAAAAGTAAAGGGTAATAGGATAAAAAATAATGTGTTGTAAAAGGATTTTTTTTTCTCATTTTCCTTATGTGTTTATAATACATTTTAGGTATGGGAAAATTGTATCCACAAAGGCTATTTTGGATAAAACAACAAACAAATGCAAAGGTATGTATGTTTGCCTTTATATTATATTCACCTGAAAGTCCTGATTCTGTAGAATACAGTAATGTTGAATTTTAAGTGCTCTCAACTTCTTTTTTTCTTTTTTCTTCCCATCCGATTCTTATTCCTCAACTAGGCTTATTCTTGCCTGTGTTGGGTGTATTCAGTACATTTGTTTCCAGCGGAGCTGGCAGACAGCCTGTGTCAGTGGTGCAGTGAAGGCGGAGTGAAGCTGACGCGCACAGTGCTGGCTGGCAATTTGCCTCTGTTTTAAAAACAGTAATGGACTCAAAAGCAGCTTTCCCCCTTTTGCCTGGAGAAACTAGGGAAGCTTGCAGAAGACCATTCAACCATACTGAGCATCTGAAAAAATTATATATTGTGGAAATCAGCTCCCTTGATTAGGGTGGTTTAAAGCAGCACTTAATTATGTGTTCCAGCCCTCTGATTGTGTTTTCTTATATGCAATTGAATGTATTGGGAGCAAAGAGAGGGTTCATTTTCACCAAAGAAATTGCAGCTGACAAAAAATATTAGAAGTCCTTTAGATAAGCTGAATACATCAGTTCACTGATTTTCATCACTCATTGCAATTAAGGTGAGATCATATCTCAGCAACGTGCATGGTGGCACAAGGTGTGGTAGCAGACGCTGAAATATCAGATTTTAGACTTTCTTTTTCACAACTAAGAGGATAATTGCTAAGCAAACTAAAGAATTAAGTCAGCTGATACGACCAATGTTAATAAGTGTAAAGCCCATGAATGAGTGTAAAGCTGATAGTCAGGAGTAGAAGAGGAGAGTTCATGATTAATCGAGTTGCAGGTTTTTTGCTGAACTTGGAAGCAGCGCAGGGGCATAGCTTTATACCTCCTTGTCCTAAGCAATTAAAGGAGTGCTGACAGTTGAGAAACAGAAATTTCTAGAATTTTTTTTTCTAGGTTGTATGCAGATGTCATATGCATATATTATGATTAGGAAAGAGAAGATGCCCTTTTCAATTATTTTAATTAATTGATACTTGTAACAGCGCTTACCTGATTTATTCTGTCCATTCCCCCCATTCCTGAAGACTTCAGTAGCTCTTAATGTTTTAAGAGATTTAAGCTGACTTTTCCAATATAGATTTTAAATCTCACCGGTGAAAAGCAGTAACAGTCTGTTGTTACAATATACAGCAAGTTAAGGCTGCAGGGAAGGTGACTGCATGCCATTGAAATTGCAGTAGGATCATAAATAAGCAGAATGCAGATATCTAACTGGAATTTAACCAGAATTTGACAGCATCTCTAGCTCTTGCCAAAAAAAAAAACAAAAAACCAACACATAATGGGATTTCAACTAACCAGAGCAACAAGTAATTGAGTTAATGTATCATCTAGAAGATGGCAAAGCTGGCTTCAGCGATGTGCTTGGTATCAGTGTGTAACTTCATCTGTATTGCTCCCTGCAGTGTGGTGGTGTTGGTAACCTGGGCTGTTCATGGGTGTGGAAAGCTAGTTTTGGTTATGGAAAGCTAGTTTTGCCTTGGCAGCACAAAACTTGAGCTAATTCACTCTGTTTCATGTCAGGATTTGACAGTCCACAACACCACATGTTATACAGAACAATATGCTGCTTTCTTCAGCTTTTTGGCAGGTTAAATAAGCTTGCACTGATGTACAGGACTGCTCGACTTGTTTTTTTCGAGTTAAGGACTTGAAAACTGATTCAGTCTTATCTTTACATGACCTTTTTGTCCACAGTATAGGCATACTGTAAGAGAATACTATTACCTTCTGAAGAAATAATTCCATTTTCTACTCCACTAGAGATTCTTTTAATTGTTGGGGTTTTTTGTTTGTTTTCTTTTAACCCAGCTTAGACATTGGAGAAGGATTTCTTTAATATTTGAGGCTGTTCACTGGTGGGATGGAAGGGGGTTGAAAAATGCAGAATGAGGTTTGCAATAACATTTAGGGGAAGTAGCTTCCAAACTCTGACTGCCTTTTGATGAGACTTGAGCATCCAGCTTCCAGGTTGCATTAAAAATCCCAGCCTACAAGGTCAGTGTCTGTAAAGGCCAATGTATATTGCTGTTCAGATGTCCTGGGATCCATTAGCTGTACATTGTTGGTCAGAATAAGAAAAGAATTTACTGCAAATATATGGAAATTGTTGCAATTAACTTTGGATTTACTTTAACTTATAAAGATTGCATTATATGGCATAGAAAATGCTTTCGGGAGAATTTTTTGCATTCTAGTTTCAGTAATAACAATGGGCAAAGCTCACTTGAATTCACTGAAGCTGAGTTTTCGCTCACTTTTAAATGTAGCTGGTTTTTATGTATATACAGTGAAGCAATTAATTCACCAAAAATTGGGTTATGATGCAGTAGATATGTGTCTTTTAAACTAAATTCCTCTCCCAGTTTCAAATAAATGACATGTAACTTGGAGGCTTATTGGTCACTTGTTCAAACTGGACTAAGAATTTAGTTTAGAAAAATGAACAGGTTATGCTTTACTCAGTGATCTCTAGGAAATAAACTGATGGTGTCACGTTCCTCTTAAAAGATACATACCAGATAACATAAAGGAAACCACTGTACTACTTGGTAGCAAAGTACGGTGGACAAAATCCTGATGAGTGGGCACGGAAATTGATTTGTTCCATTAGGGTAGATCCCCAGCAGTTGAAGGGTTGAAGGACTTTGGTAGATTGTTTTTTTGGGACTACATGAAGAGTTTGGGAGTTCAGATTGACCCTCTTCACCCACAAGAAAATTATATTAAATAACTGTGCTACTCACGTATGAGCTGTGTGATTATAGGCTGGCTGCTGTCTCGTTAATGAAATATGTTTTATATTTCAGGTTACGGTTTTGTTGACTTTGACAGCCCAGCAGCTGCTCAGAAGGCAGTTTCTGCTTTAAAGGCTAGTGGAGTCCAAGCACAAATGGCAAAGGTGAGTTAAAATAACTGGCTAATTCTTGCAATTGCTTGGGAAACCATTTGTACATTTGTCTTGGTGTCAGGACCACCACCACCACGTGGTCGCAACACCGCCTCCCCCCCCACTCCTCTCCCGGTAAGATGGGGGCAAATAAGAAAAAAAAGTGGAACCTCCTGAGTTGAGATAACGACAGATTTTTAATAATACCACACGAGGAAAGCAAAAGAAAGAAGAATATAACAATAAGACAAGATATAGAGTACAATGGAAACACTGATACAATGAAAATCTCACCACCACGAGCTTCACAAAAGAGACCCCTCTCCCGGCTAGCTTCCCCTTATATCCCGGGCATGACGTCAGCATGGTATCGAATATCCGGCTATGCCCAACTCCCAGCTTCTGTGAAGAATTAACCCTATCCCAGCTGGACCCAGGACAACATTACAAGCTTCTAAGTTAGCAGAGCATCGGCAATGTGAATTTTCAAGTTGCAGGCCCTTTACAGAGGGCACAGTCCTCAAGCTGCGTGGTGGTATTAAGGTAACAAAATGGGGGCTTTCAACTGCCATATCCCAAACCATCTCAACTAATGAAATAAAGAAACATAGTATGGTATAGTATGGTAAAGTCTTCAAACTCATCTGGTTGGATTTATCAATTTATTCATGATACTATTTTTCCATTGGCTTCATCAGAAGAAAGATTAGTAATAAATATTTAAGAACTACAACAGGCTTAACAGTTTAAATACGTGTTAAATCCTGGAACAAGTCAATAGCTGAAATAATTTACAGCACAAAGTGTAAGAGGTTTTATACATTGCCTGTTTGTTGTTACTGTGGTTAGCAGCCTCACAATTTGAGGATGAGTTTGTAAGCGCAACATGGCAAAATTTAACCTTGTGACTTTGTCTTCAGCCTTTCTGATATATTTTCTGCTAACATAAGTAAAATTTAAATCTGGACATTCACAACAGATGTCTTGAAATTCTTATCCAACTCTTTGACAACTTGTTTCTGCATCAGGGCAAACCCAAGCATTATTAAAAATAAAGAAATATGATCTTTTTTTCTCATTTTTACTGATCCTTGCCTCTGAATCAGTTTATTAGCCAAAAGTGATCTTAAAAGCAATGCTCTTTCAGCGTAAGATATGTTTCTCAAATCTATAAAATCAGGGAGATGATACATTAGTAATGATTTTGTCATGCATTCTTGTTAGGTCAGATGGCCTTGTTCCTATAGAGTACCATGAACACCACTACACATTTATTAAATAAAGAAAATATTACCAACATAATCTGTTCACATAATTTGTCGTACCTCTTAAAGATTTTTTTTAACTTTGAAAAATATATACTAATTAAAGATAAAATAATTCAATAATCAAATAGCAATCTCAGAGACTTTTTTTTTAATAGTCTGACACAGATCTAGCAAATCTTTTCTAGTTATCCATTAGGTACAGATTTTTTTCAGATGAGATATTTTCCACAGCTTCTCAGCTGAAGAGAACAGTTAAGCTAACAACATAAAATGTCTTTGGGTGGATTCCAGGGCAACAAAATGGAAACCATATGTTTCATACTTAATGCATGTTTTGTTACAGCCATGACACAAACATACATGCTTACTGGAAAAAACATTTTTTTTTTGTTTTTTGGTTTTTGTTTTCTTTTTTAAAAGGCTTTATGTATGCTTAATAAAGACCTTTTAATTAATCTTTCAGTTTTAGGTGATCACTTTAAAATATACACCAGATTTTTCAAAGCCTCTGTCTGCCATCTTATGGACATGATATCTGGGTAGGAGGGGAGAAAAGAGAATGTGAAGTCATGTAAATTTATTTTGCTAATTAATTTTGATGTCTGATTTAATTGTCTTCATGAGTAGATGGAGAAGTTCTAATAATTCACTATAGTAATCTAATGAATAGTTTCTTAGTTTTTCCCATAGTAAATTTTTCTGACTCATTTCCTCTGACAATTAGTTGCAATATTGCTAATATTTCTTTGTTAGCATTAGTGAAAAAATGTGCACCATAATACCTGACCATTTTGATTGATTTTTCTGATACTGTGTCAAGCCTGGTGACCTGTGGGAAATCTGTAACTATAAAGTTTGCATTCCAGTGAAACTTGTTGTTCTGCTTCTTAGCATGGAAACAGTGTTTGAATTATTAAAAAAACAACCTCAAAACCAATCCAATGAACAGTACCACAACAAGCAGTCACAAGTGCCTAAGAGTTTGAGTGCTTCAATTTTTGTCTATTTTGAGCTATTGGATTTTTATTTTTTTCTGGGCAGTACTGCTCTCTTCTTGTCTGAAAAATCCTATCTCCACTTGGATGCTCCGAACGGGGAGTGGCCAGTCACTTAGAGTTGTTTTGGCAAGATTAGCAAATCAGCAAGATTTGCAAGACTCTATAACTCGTGTTTGTGAATTTAATATTTTTTCTGTTTGCATTTTACCACCTGTGCTGTGCGGTGGTCTTCTTGCAGTGAAACTATTCAGACTTTAGCCTGAATGTCACAGATAAAGATTTGGAGGACAGTTTCTCAGCTGTCTGTCCAATGGATTTCCTCACTGACCACTGCAACTGCTTCAGTTCCAAAGAGAAATAAATGTCGGGATTTGTCTTTGGGAAGGCGTTGGTATTATGCTGTGCCCAGGGTGCTGGCCAGCAGCATGGCTCCTCAGTATTCTTGGCCTCCTCCCAGATACGGTGGTAGTCCCTCACCTTCCACAGCTGAAGGGGAAGGAAAACATTATTGCTGAAGCCTTGTTCTGTCTCTGGCTGCTGTAAATCCCTTTTTGCAGTGTCCTGGTGTAGCTGTATGATGATGAGTTAAAAATTACTCATATCAGCAAGATCATCTACAAATCCTAGTTTAGTAGAAGTGGTTCAGATTATATGTATTAAAACCTTTGTTGTTTGTTTTCTAGAGATAACTTTAATATCTGACATTGTGAGCTTTTCCCATCCATGGGTTAAGATAATGCTGTACTCAGTGGTCTGCTTACAAGTTGACCTAACTCTGGAAAAATATAGTCTCCTCCACCATGTTTTGGCTATTGTTGGGCAGACCAGGAGGACCCTGGGCTTCAGGCCACATCCTGCAAAATCTGCTTCAGGGGGTCACTGTCTGTGGAGAAGTGGCCATGTCTTGGGAGATGTCATGATGAGAGTGTCAGTGAAGGAACCCTATGTCAGACCATGGCTCAAGAAGCGTTATGTCTTTAGTTGTTCTGCTCTTTCCAAGATCTGAATTGGGAATGCTTGACTAAGATGAAGCAGCTTGGAAAGTGTTTGGCTCTGTGCTGTTTAAAAGTATCTTCCAGTCACCACTGAAACAGAAATACCTCCAACGATTCCTGTTGGTCAGATAATGCTGCTAAGAGCTTACATAAGATGATATTGCATTGCCAGGGGATGGGAGAAGCTTTTCAACAGAAATTTAAAATAGAGGTAATGGGCTATTGCCCTTCTTCTCTCTTCCAACTGAGTATTTCCAGTGTTCATTTGTGTCAGTTGTCTTTTTCAGTGTGTGCAAGTGGCTGTGGATGGGGATCAGGAGATGATGTGAGATGTAGTGGCAGCCAGTTTGCTTCAGGACCTAGTACAAAATTGGTAGCTTGTCTCTTACTCTAGAGATAAGGTACAGAAAGAGCAGATACGTGTCTTGCGAGAGTACTGTTATTTCTAAGCTAGTTAGTAAGTGGCTGAGTGTCTTAATTTCTATTTTCATTCGTTTTAATATCTTTACTTTCTCCTAAAGGAGTGCTTTGATAATAAACCAGTAATAATAACTTCAAAAGCTCTGATTTTGCAGAGCTGTGCATTCTTAGATAATATTAGTAGTAGTGTTGAAAAGCTCTGCCCATTTTATTTGTTACGAAAGTTGTTATTGATGCTGTCAGAGTTAATTTTCTGAGAAATGTCTCTTTTCTTCTCTCCACCCCAGAGGTAGAATCAGTAATATAACTGTATGTTTCTATGCTGTTCAGAGCAGATAGCAAATGCCTTTGTTTAGGAAGATAGATTCACACAGAAAATCTACTGCATATTGGTGTTTTGAATGGAGATTTTAAAAATTTAATTATAGAATCATAGAATCATTTAGGTTGGAAAAGACCTTTAAGATCATTGAGTCCTACTTTGAACCTAACACTGCCAAGTCCACCACTAAGTCATGTCCCAGAGTGCCACATCCACATGTCTTTTAAATACCTCCAGGGATGGTGACTCCACCACTTCCCTGGGCAGCCTGTTCCAATGCTTAATAACCCTTTCAGTGAACAGATTTTTCCTAATATCCAGTCTAAACCTCCCCTGGCACAACTTGAGGCAGTTTTCTCTCATCCTATCACTTGTTCCTTGGCAAAAGAGACCAACACGCACCTCGCTACAACCTCCTTTCAGGTGGTTGTAGACAGTGATAAGGTCTCCCTGAGCCTTCTTTTCTCCAGACTAAACAACTCCAGTTCCCTCAGCTGCTCCTCATAAAGCTTGTTCTCTAGACCCTCCACCAGCTTTGTTGCTCTTCTTTGGACACAGTCCAGCACCTCAAGGTCTTGTAGTGAGAATCTGTAAGGGATGTTTTAGAGATGGTGAGGTCTAAGTGCTCTTGAAATATGAGTCACCTAAATCGTCATAGGTTTTTGACCTTGAACTTAAGGCATTTGAATCAGTGCTTGGACGAAATACTGTCTCATCAAACGCTATTCAACTGAGTTCAACTGTAGTTGCTGAAGTAGCTGTATTTCAGATGGTTGGAAAAGTGGCCCTTTTAAATGGGAAGTTGAATTCTTATTCTTCTGGATGTAAACTAATATGTAAATATAAAATGTAAAAAAGAGTCCCTGAATAAGTATGGTTAATAAAAAAAACAGAGTTCTTATCTTTCTATGTAGCTAACTTAAGCCAGGAGGAGAATGAGTGTGTTTACAGCTCAGATAAAGTCAGCTAGAGAACATATATATTCTCCTGACTGCATGTAGATATTATA